TCATTCATCCATCCATCCATTCATGCATCCATAAATCCATCCATCCATCCATCCATCCATCCATCCATTGATCCATCCATTGATCCATTCATCCATCATTCATCCATCCATCCCTTCATGCATCCATCCATGCATCCATCCATCCATCCATCCATCCATCCCTCTGTCTTGTTTTGTGTATTGTCTTACAGGATGTGAGACGTTCATGGACATCGTGATCGTTCTGGACGGTTCCAACTCCATCTATCCGTGGTACGAGGTCAGGGACTTCCTCATCACCATCCTGCAGAAGTTCTACATCGGCCCAGGTCAGACGCAGGTCGGTTCATCACTGAATTTAAAGAAAAGACTCTATATTGCATAAATATAAAACAGTAGAGTTTGTCGCCTCTTGTTTCCCTGAATGCAGCATTTGTTCAGTAGCAGACACTACAATAGATGATGCAACTAGAACATGCATTAGGCTCATTATATAAGGAGCCATTGGAGCCATGTCAACCTTGGAGCTAACATGGCATAGCATTTAATCTTTAGTACCTAGTTTGAATAAGTAATTATAAGGTCTGGAAGTTGATCACCATGCAACTAAACCTCAAACGTAATGCTTGTAGTGGAAACAGAGCTCATAGACTGCAGTAGTCCAGATTTATGTGTCAATTTATATCCCAGCATGCAACTGAGAAATAGGAATCCTTCAAAACTAGCAGTCTCCCTACCTTCAACAGTCCCCACTGACATGATCTTGATCAAAGATCTGAACCATTATCTGCTGCAGTTGAGCGGCCACCAGTAGCGGACTGGTTTTACTGGAAGCTGACCAACAGGCTGACAGAGGAAAAGCTCTCTGACACCTTAAGGTGCAGGGTTTTAGGGTCTGGACTGAGCTGTGGTGTGTTTTGCCTGCAGGTGGGTGTGGTTCAGTACGGCTCCACGGTGGTCCATGAGTTCGGTCTGGGTGAGTACCAGACAGTGGAGGAGGTGGTGGAGGCCGCCAGGGGCATCGACCAGCGGGGCGGCGAGGAGACGAGGACGGCGCTGGGCATCAACGTGGCGCGGTACGACACAAAAGTGATGTCCATCGGGAAGGATGATGGCCACACAGTAACCGAACCAGGTTCACTTACTGTTCTTCCCTGTGCAGGTCGGATGCGTTCAAGCGCGGCGGCCGACCCGGCGCTCAAAAGGTGATGATTGTGATCACGGACGGAGAATCTCACGATAGTCCACAGCTGGTGCAGGCCGTCGCCGACAGCGAGAGAGACAATGTCACCATGTACGCCATCGCTGTGAGTCTGTCCTGCTGGTTTCCTGTCTGATTTAGCTTCTTTCTTCCTCCTTCCCAGTTTTTGCATCAAACCTCCTCCTCTGTTGTTTTGGACTTCAGGAACTCTATCCTGAGTGTTTTGCTCTGGGTCTTGTCCAGGTTCTGGGTTATTACAACCGTCGAGGAATCAACCCCGAAGCCTTTCTGAAGGAAATCAAGTTCATCGCCAGCGACCCGGATGAGAAGCACTTCTTCAATGTGTCGGACGAGTCGGCGCTGAAGGACATCGCGGACGCGCTGGGAGAGAGGATCTTCTCTCTGGAAGGTCAGCTGACCATGTTGAATATCTGTTGATTGGTTGAAGGTGTGGAGCCTCCGTCCGTCCGTCCGTCTATGTTTTATCTGCTTCTCTGAGGTTGGCGTGAAGGGCAGCTGGCTAAGCGAGGTTTTCCAGACCAGAAATGAGCCACCTGTTGAGTTTCTGCTTCTTTCCACTGAGACATCCCTCCACCTTCTTTATTCTCATCAATCTTCTGTGCTGCTAGATGCTTCACTTTCTTCCCCTCGCTTTCTCTCACAGTCTACAATCTGCTAATGTGAACCTTTATGCTGCTTTCACCTTTACATGCGTCCGCTGTTCAGATTGAGGAACCAACAGAGAAAGCTAACGGCTGCAGACAGCTGTAGCTCGGGCTGTTGATTCCCAGTGGGATCACTACTGCTGGCTCCACATGTGACATTTAAAAAGGCTTTATTAAAACGTGAAAGTAACACGATGATGTCGTCTCTGTTTCCATTCTGCAGGAACCAGCAGTCAGGGTCGAGGGTTCGGTCTGCAGATGGCTCAGGCTGGTTTCTCCTCACACTTAGTCAAAGTGAGTAACGAGTTCTTCTATTAGTTCAGTTCACACATCAACGCACACTTGTGTGTTGATGTCCGTAAAGTGATGATGTGAAGACTCAGTATTATTTCTGATTTGACTCTTTAGATTTTGCGTAGTTGATTCTTTTTTATCATGTTTTATTTCCAAAGATCTGTTCTTACTGGATAAAGAATCCTTATCATTTCCCCCAAATCGTTGCTGCATAACATCCTGATCGGTACTTTATTTTGTAGGAATCGTCTGGTTTGAGTTTCCACTTGATGAACTAATCAGATTTTCCTCCAGTTTTCTCCAGAAAAGCAAATCCAATAAAATCAGCAGACGACAGCAACAGAAGATCAAACTCTCAACTATTAGTATCAGTGTGATCCTCAAACATCAGGAGTGGGTTTGCTTCTGGTCCTGACACAACTCTGAAGCTGCAGAATAAGAAGCTTCTAGAAATATTTCTGTTGTTTCTCATCCAGGGAAAATCGTACTCGACTGAATTCCAACGTCAGGGAGTGAAAATGGTGTCGTGGAAACTTTTCTTTGGGAAACGCAGAGCAGATGTTTTTTCCTGAACGTAAAGCTGCCAAAACCCACACAGACACTCAGCCTTCAGTGATGCACACCATCACACACACACATATGCAAAGTGTTTCCTGCTCTTTTGGGGATCAAAAGGTATAAAATGTGAACTCAGGTAGCAGTCACACTGATGTGGAAAACAGATGACATCATGAATCATCTCTGAGTGAGTCGTCCTGCAGGACAACCGTCCTCCTCAGACCGGATCACAACAAGACCTTTAACAGTGAATCTACAGATCCAGAGTCAGTCCTGGTGCAGATCTAGAGTCAGACCTGGTGCAGATCCAGAGTCAGACCTGGTGCAGATCCAGAGTCAGTCCTGGTGCAGATCTAGAGTCAGACCTGGTGCAGATCCAGAGTCAGACCTGGTGCAGATCCAGAGTCAGTCCTGGTGCAGATCCAGAGTCAGTCCTGGTGCAGATCTAGAGTCAGACCTGGTGCAGATCCAGAGTCAGACCTGGTGCAGATCTAGAGTCAGTCCTGGTGCAGATCCAGAGTCCTGCAGACAGGATGCCGTCGCCAAGAATTTGGTCATCCACTGTGGTCCTTGACTCACTGGCCCGTAGAGATGATGACTCAACGCTTTTATATCTGGATTCAACCAGCTCCATCTGAGTGTGTGATTGACTGCACACACACACGCACACACACACACACACAGACACACACGCACACACACACACAGACACACGCGCACACACACACACACACACGTGTTGTGTTCAGGTTCTGAGAATGATAAACCAACAGCAGCCTGTTCAGAGTCAATGCTTCAGTGCTGAGACGTTCCATCATGAGTTGGAAGATGTTTGGATCATCGTTGTTTAAGACGGTCGGGCTGTCAACTAAAACACCTTGATTATAGTATATACCACGAGTATACTAGCTGAGTATTGCCATTTACTACCACTTTATACTTCTATTCCACTTCATCTTAGACACTTCAGTTATATGTTTCTCTACAGACTGAGATGACTGGATACTCCTTTTCTCTTTTTCAAAGACTGAGTCAATGGTCGACTTTTTAGCAATGTATGAAAATGATCACATCTGGACGATTGCTGCTCAGCAGAGAGGGAACTTCTCTTCCTGTTGTTTTAAATCAGAGTCATGACTTGTTGCTAGACTGAAGGACGTCCATTGATCTACAGCAGTAAAAGGCTACGACATGGACCAGAAACACATCACAGGGGAACATTCTTCTGCACAATGAGTACTTTTACTTCTACTTTTGAAAGCAGAAGTTTTTATTTATAAGTATTTTACATGATGTAAGGATCTGTGTACTTCCTCCTCGGGCTCCATGTGTGTTGAATGAATAAAACAAACATTTGAAAGGCCCTAATAGATCACATCCTCATAACAGAGTCACCTACACAGTGAAAAGCTCTCAGATGTAAAATCTACTCAGGAAGTGGAGCTGGAACATTTCGGCGTTCTGTTACTTGAGCTGCATGCTGGGAAACTCAGTCAGAATCTGTGAAAATAGAAGCTCCAAAACACATGAATACTTCCAGGAACACGAGGTACTTCTCATGTTTTATTGCTGCTCTGCTACAGGTTTGTGTTATCTACTGGTGTTAGTATTACTTCTTCACTTTGTATTTATATGCTTGTCTTCAATCTTATGTTGTTATGATTTACCTTTTCTATTGTTATTTTATTTTGTCTCTTCTTATGAACTTAATACTTATTCTATTGTTTATTTATGCTCTTATTCTACTGCTGTATCGTTTGATCAATCTCTGGCACAAGACTTTCCTCAGGGATTAATAAAGTTCTACTTTATCTTACATTATGTTGCATGTATTATATTCCGTGTTCTTCCATCAGGACGGCATTCTGCTCGGGGCGGTCGGCGCCTACGACTGGAACGGCGCCGTGCTGAAAGAGACGAAACACGGCAAAGTCGTTCCACCAAAATCCTCGTACAAGGACGAGTTTCCAGAGGAGCTGAAGAACCACGGAGCTTATCTTGGTAATAAGGCTGGACTGTACTTATCTCTGTCTACTCTTAATATATGTATATATACAATTTACATGTATATATTTATACATGATTAGTTTGATGGTTACAGCATTTGATAGACTGTCTGTCTTCAGGAATATGTCCCCAGCTTTAAACGTATACTTTCAATTGAACATCCTGCTCGTAGAGTTTGCAGCAATAATTACAACAATAAAAGAATTGGACAAAACAACCAATGCACTGATGATCTAGCTTTAGTTCCAGCTTTGCCGTCAGCAGTAATTCAAACTGAGGGTGGAACTCATGACGAGGCCATACGATCTCTAAAATCTCTAAGATTTAGCTCTTTGTTGTGTGAAGTACAAGTGGAACTTTTGCCTGATGGTGGCGCCACAGGGAAGGTCGGGGGGGTCACCAGAATAAGTTGTGTTCATCTTCTGAAGACCATGAATATTCTGATCAGTTGTCAAGAGAGCTAGCGGTCAAAATGTTGGACACAGTTTGACTAACTGACCTCCATCTCCATTGTTGGTCTGTGTTAACGGGGAAATATCAGAACATCTTGACTCCCGTTGGTCTGTTTCTGTTCCTTCTTCTGGTTCCAGGTTACTCGGTGGGTTCACTCATTTCGTCTCGGGGCTCTCAGCTCTACGTGGCCGGAGCTCCGAGGTTCAACCACACCGGGAAGGTCATCATCTTCAGCCTGAAGAACACGGGGAACCTGACCATCCTGCAGGCCCTGCTGGGGGAGCAGGTCAGTCCCACCAGCCAGTGACGCACTTCATAATATGTAAAAAGAAGACTGTTGGTGGATGGGTCCAACAAACACAACTTTCAACCCAACTGTTGGTTTTGTTGCCTAAAACTAACAGTTCATGGTTATTTTTAAGCCAACCACGATGTTTTTTACTAACCTAACTTTAGTTTTTAACATAATATTTCGAGGGAAACCCCCAAAAAATCCACGGACGGTTTGTGTCCCTGTAGACGGAACCAATAGATTGCATTGAGATGTGACACCTAAGTATGTATCCACATGTGGGACACATGGCCGTCTCTGCTGAAATGAAAACTGTTTTTGTTTTGTTCTTTTCCAGATCGGCTCATATTTCGGCAGTGAGTTGTTGTCGATAGACGTAGACGATGACGGACAGTCGGACGTACTGGTGGTGGCAGCTCCCATGTTCTACAGTCAAGGCTGGGAGAGAGGGAAGGTCTACATCTACACGGTGACTCCACAGGTACATTCACACAGGACTCCACGCTGCAGCATTCTAGTAAATACTCAAACTAAACTAAACCTTCTCCCTCCAGGTATCGTTCATGCTGCAGGGGGCGCTGGAGGTTTCTGACCGCTCTCAGAACTCCCGGCTGGGTTCGGCGTTGGCCCAGATACCTGACATGAACGGGGACGGCTTCAGGGAGCTTGTGATGGGAGCGCCGCTGGAGGACGACCACCAGGGGGCGGTCTACATCTTTTATGGCAAGGACAAAACCATCCAACACCAGTACAGACAGGTAACAGATGCAGAACCAGTTCAGCCAGAAGAAGCAATCTGTGCGTAAATAATCAGTCTGTTGGCTCTCTCTCCAGCGTCTCTCTGCAGCCGGGTTTTCTGCAGGTCTGCAGTATTTCGGTCAAAGTCTTCACGGTGTTCTGGACGTCAATGCAGACGGGCTGGTCGACCTCGCTGTGGGAGCACTGGGAGCGGCTGTCATCATCTGGTCAGACCAGCACACACTCACACTGGATTTGTTATAGTTTCTATAGATGCACAGTGTTATTATGGCTCTACCACTTCGGTCCGGACTGAAATATCTCAACAACTGTTGGCTGGATTTCCATTAAATCTGTTCACGATGTTCCCCAGAGGATGAATCCTACTGACTGAGTGATTCTCTCAGCTTTACTTGAGGTTCACATTTGTGGTTCAAAATTACGAATGGATTGAATTATATGAAATTTAATAAAGATATTCAAGGTCCCTAGAGGATTAACTCTAGTAACTGTCTGTGGTGTTAGAGACTTACTCTGAAACTAAAACCATGCATAATTTCCTGAAGTTAAATTTCGCTTTATTCTAACGAAGCCAAGTCCTTAAATCTTAAGGGGTAGTTTCTGTGCCTAAAAGGTAACTGACTCCCCTCAATGATGGAAGTAACACAAGTGAACGAACACAGAGGACCACAGCGCCCTGATGAAGACCTGCTTCCTCCCTCCAGGTCTCGTGGTGTGGTGCGGATTCAGGCCAAGCTCATCTTTGAACCCGAGAAGGTCAACGTCTTTAACAAAGACTGTCGTCGAGGCGGGAAGGAGGTCACTTGCATGTCTGTTAACGTCTGTCTGAGTCTGGACGCCAGGACAAAGACCAAGACAAAGACCAGGACGGATGTTGGTGGGTGGGATGCACATGCTAACTATTCATATGCCCAAACTAAGATTACCAAACCGGGGCTAAGAGGGCCTCGGATATTTGAAAGTGGTATCCAATAAGAGCCCCTCTCCTATTGAACATGGCGTCAATAAGGGCCCAATAATAAATCATCGCTGACCCAAGTAAGTTCATCTGTTCGCGTTAGCCAAATATTTTCCGTCATTGAAAGAATTTTTTAACAACGACGGAAGAATCTGAAGGCTGTCCGGCATTCTGACAAACGAGAAGACGTCTGTCAGAGGCAAATATGGAAAACAAATTCCTGCAGTGGATTCAGGTTGCTGAGGTTAAGGCAGGGGTCGGCAAACTGCGGCTCTTCAGCCCTTCTGTTGCAGCTCCCTGAGTCTACATCAGGGGTCCCCAACTGGCGGACCGGATCCGGACCCAGGCCCTAAATCTGATAGATAATTCGGAATTATACATATTGGGCACCGAGTTTCTACTTTAACCGGCGCATCTTATTCAGCCGTTACGGCACTTGTTCGGCGGTGCAATGCACTGACCAATGCATTGCAAATCACATCAGGTGATGCAGCTCAGCCAATCAAATATGTGTATTCTGACAAGTTTCCTGACTCGAGCGAGGTTTACACACACGTGACACACGGGGCTGAGACGAGGAAATAGAAAGTAGAGCAGGGACATGGTGCAGATAGAAGAAGTTATCTCACATGACGTTCTCCAAAAAGAGAAACGTGTTCAGAGAGAATATAATTTATAAGCAAGAATGAACAGAATCTGTTAATTATTCCCACAGGCAGTTAAATCCTCTACCCCTGTCAAGAGCTTTTCCCTGCAGGTGGCTGATCATGATTTTCAGACCCCCGCCCTCTGTAAACTATCAATGGATAAATCCAAAAAAAGAAAAGTCATGGAGGAAAATAGAGAGTTTAACTCTGCGTGGACGTCTTCATTTGCTTTCACTGCCAACGATGCTGGTTTACATGTATGCTTCCAGAACAAGCACACAGCATTTGCTGAAAAGTGTCATGCTAGAGATGAGCGACAAAGAGCGATTTCTAAACTGCTGCAGCAAACTCTCCTCTTCATAAGAGTTTGATATTGTTATATCAGGTAAAATTGCAGTAAAATGTCAAGAATTGTCTTTATTCTTGTTCTATATTTTCATAAATACAACAAACTATAGTTTTTGTATATATAATATAACTATATATACAACTTTATAAGCTATGATATGAAATAGCTTTTGCGGCTCCAGACACATTTCATTTGGTGGAAAATAGAGCAAAATGGCTCTTTGGATAGAAAAGGTTGCCGACCCCTGTGTTAAGGCAACAAAAGCACTTCCATAAAACCACAACGAGGTGTTGAACAACCGGTCTTCTGGTAGTAAGTCCTGTTTGTTGGACCCCTCACGTCCACCAACAGTCGTCTCTTTGGATATTATAAAGTACCTCACTTGCTCTGACTGTTGCTTAGTCACGTGGATGCATTTAGTCTGTGTGTCCACCACTAATAAGGGTCCTAACAGACCTTTCATTGGCATTGTTTTGGCAAAACAACAAGATAATTTGTGTCCCTGTACACAAAAGTAATAGATTGCATTTCGTTACTGTTTCACAAACTGCCGTGATGCTGAGCTGGAAGGAAGGAGGCACAAAGTTCACGGTGACACCTAATCTGTGTTTTAGAGCATTTACTAATTTTGGTACATTACTTCATGAGCTCAAGCTGGACTTGATGCCATGCCCAGCTCCAACAGCAGTGTGCCTTTGAGCAAAGCGTTACCTCCCAGCTGCCCAGTAGCAGCTTGTGGTTGGAGCCCACAGCTTCCTGAATGCATGGAGGTAAACGTCCACACATTATATAACATCTGTGTGGACGTTTGAAACACCCAGATATTTGGTGTTGTTCGACCGTCTGCATGTGGAAAGTCTCGTCGTGCTCCTTTTCTTCCCTCGCAGCACAGATTCCCCACCGTGCTTCGTGTCGTCGTGTCTCCGGGTAATCGGCTGCAGATGTTCGGGCTCGGCTGCATGGAAACCTCGCTGTAACACGCTAACGCCAGCCAGTTAAACTGTGTCACTCCTCCTCCATCACTTCATACCTTCAAACCTTCCTCTCTTCCTTTCTTTCTCCTCATCTTCCCCCCGATCATCTGGACCGGATTAGACACACACACACACACACACACACACACACACACACACACACACACACACACACACATTAAGACAGAGATGCACACACGCCACATCAAACGGACACGCTTCAGTGGACGAATAGAAGACAGGAAGTGATTGACGAAATCTTAACCTTCTTGGTTTTAGGAGTTACTCTGGTTCTGGTTTATTTATTTCGGTGCAGACGTGGCGTTTTCTGACGTGAGCTGTGCAGGACAGAAGCAGCTTACTTCAGCTCATAAATCAAGACACAACTTCAGATGTTAAACAGATGAGAATGAGCTCTGCAGTTACACTAAGCTGCAGCATTCAACAGCTAATAAGAAGCAGGAAATAAAGAGTTAAAGCCCCCCATGGGACCTGCTTTTGGAAAATATACATACAATAGTCAACAGTGAGAGAGAAATATTTATTTCCTCCCGTTTGAATTGTGCCATGAATTACACACGATGTTTGTTGATTTAAAAGACAATTTTGCACATTATGAAAGTCTATGTTTGTCGTACTATTATTTAGTTTTGTCTGAGACCAATCAGTGAATTTCGTCACCAAAATGGCGGTTAGCTTGGCTAGCCATCTAGCTAGCTAACCAGCTAGGTACAAAGAGTCACGTTCTCTTACCTGATGTGCTTTATCCAACGACTCTTTTTATCAGCCGGGAACAGGCGTCAACCTCTGGTTCTGCCAAGTGAAGCCTTAGAACCTTCTTCCTGTGGAGAAGGGGAGGAGTCTAATGAGTCAGAGAGTAATCCTCC